ATCTATTTTAGGGATTAAATTATGAAGTTTATGGTTCGGGTTATTTAAAATTTGATTAAAAAGTTTATTGCAGGCAATTTGCCTTCTAGCGTACAATGACTCCATCCCAGCTTCCATCAATGCATCTTCGTAATGTAAGTTCGGACATACAATTCGAAGAACCCGTTTTTGTACTCGTTCAATTTCATCACTCAAGTATTTAGGTAAAGAGTAGTGGAAAACATTGGAAGCGTATTCCAGAATGGGGCGGATACATATGGTATAGAATTGTAAAATATCTTGAATCGCGACTTACTCGACCTCTAATCTCGACTTACTCGACTTAATCGACCCTTACTCAACCTCTGCGAGAACGATAGGTTAGCAGTATAAATACCAGTATAAATGAAGTTAGTCTACACTAATTTAACGTCTCGTTACACTGGAGTACTGGACCTCCGCGTAGAACGGTTTAATTATTAAAACCAAATGATATCACGAATGGTGACAATGAAGAAGTAGATTTCCCAAGAACCACAGAGAAGAAGAAACGACAAATTCAAGATCTAAATACCCACTATAGTTATTGTAGTTTCCACTCCTTATCAAATTTAATATGGCGGATTAAGGAAACGCCATTGGCCACGCACTTGGGAAAAAGTGGAGACGTGATTCGTGATCAAGTACGCATTCTAAACAAACAAACAAACAAACAAACAACTTACCTGGTCTAGAATTCTTAGTAGTGAAGGAAGGTGGAGTGGTATCCTCAGTAGTGGAGGAAAGTTGAGTCGCACCCTCAGTAGTGGAAGAAGGTTGAGTGGTATTTTCAGTGGTGGAGGAAGGTTGAATGATTTCCACTGTAGTAGAGAAAGTTTGCGTGGTACTTTCAGTAGTGGAGGAAGATTGAATGATTTCCTCTGTAGTTGACGAAGGTTGAGTGGTACTTTCAGTAGTAGAGGAAGGTTGAGTGGTTTGACCAGCTGATGGAGTTATGAATTGATCTAAACACAATAAAATCAATTTTTATTGCACTTTCACAATCATTACAGTCGAAACTTTGAAGCTGTGCTACGCAGCTACAATCATCGAACAATTTCTTTGGGACAAGTTGGAAACGTTTTTTACTTGAAAAGAAAGTAGAATGTATCGGGTTTACATCGCCTTGCGCCCTCCCTCCCCCCCCCCCATACAATGTTGGTACAACAGCATATGACATTCACGAGTATTTTATAACATTTTCCGATGAGAGATACTACAAGAAATCAACATTGTAAGGTGGGGGAGAGGGGAGTGGTAGCGTTTAAGTATGATTGTATACGTCCTGCGATAATATTCTGAAGCTGCTTTTAATAGCTTTCTATTTATAGATATTACGATTCTGTTTGATTGACACTTTTACAGTGATTGTCCCGATTAATTATTCCATGATTGTAGCACTGATCAAGACACGGACTTATGGAAGGGGAGCTTTAGGAAAGAAATGGATTAATGCAATGATTTCCAGACAGCAATATTAAACTACTAATAAAAGTAGCTCAAATACAATGATGGTTTAAAATCTTTCCTGAATGGCCGCCAGTTGACATGAACTATATATATGCTTACGGTTTTATATACATATATCATGGTTGACTAAATAAAATAACACAAACTTCTGACTTGATAATTCTTCATATCATGCTCAACCTCATTCAATAATTGTTAAATATCAATAGTCAATTTGCTATTTTCTCAGCTGATTGCGTCACCTTCACCGTGACCAAGATGTTATTAAACTGCTTTAGGAAACACAACACGACGTCGACGAGGACGCGAAAATGGCGTGGCATGTGGGATTTTAATTCCGGTGGCCGCCGTTCACGATGTGTTTAGGATACGGCATTGGGTGTTTTCACGTCCTCTCTAGAACGTCACAAATTTATGCTTGTTTTTGAAAAAAATATGAAAGTATTCACCACAAAAACTATCCTATTTTGTTCCACATATATTCTTCAATATTTGTAGCTGAACATTGTCTTGATTGATAAGTTTGTGTTCTTATATTTCGCTCAGTTTTGGACGCGTTGATTTTTGGCAAGTACTTTCATCGCCATAACAAAACAACAGGGCTGCAAGAATTGTTGACCCTTCAACACTGCTTTTATTTCTGGTCAAAAGACACAATTTAAAGCACAAAAACTGAACTGCAACAACAAGACTTTTAAGTGAAGAAAAAATTATAGGAATATGGAATAACTGAGGCACCTGATTAAACAATATAAAACGGGATCAATTTTAGTTGCCTTGTCACAAAAGTACGAAAATGCACGACAAATAAAAAAACAATTTTCAGCGTGAAAAACAGTCGTAAACAACATTGAATTTCACAAATGTAAACTCAGATATGTCTGCTAATATCGAACAGCTTAGAAAGTAAATTAAATCAAATAGAAACCAACGTGTTTAACTGGTGAACAATACCTGCAGCTTTTGCGTTTTGTCCGTATAATGCGGTAAAATTCACTTGTTCAAAAACAATAAAATATAGCAGTTTTTTTCAAAAAATCCTGTTGAATATTCGTAGAAAATCTTCAGAAAATACGTAAATACTCGGCCAGTATAACAGAGCATTTTCTTGGGTTATCACTATTTTCCATCCAGCAAACTGACCTGACGTCATTTTCGCAAGATAGTAGGTGTTAAATGGCTATGTAACTGACCCAAACTCTACCCCTACTCTAACCCCTAACCCTAACCTCAACCCTAACTCTAACCCTAACCCTAACCCTAACCCTAACCGAATTAATAAAAAAATCCAAAAAGAAACGACTTTACAAAATCGATAGGGCGGTTCGCTGGATGGAAAAAAGTGCTAACCATTTTCTTGCACATGGACAAATAATTGAAAGCGATAAAGAAATATGCAAGCGGCGAAGTTAGCAGATTCAAACCGGAAGTAAGCGCAAAGTGTATGACTACATTTTCACATCTTCGTCGTCGTCGCTTTGTGCTTGCTAAAGCAGTCCAAAATATCGCAGTGTGTTTCATCTTATGCGTGACGATTTCACAGTTGGC